GAACACGGAACATTATACTGATCATTATACACTACACACTACCTGTTGAACACCTTACACTCAATACTGAACATGCACACTACACACTACCTACTGAACTCATACTATACACTCAAAACTGATAATGTACACTACATACTGGGTACTATACACTCAATACTGATCATGTACACTACATACTGCCTACTAAACTCAAATTATACTCTCAATAATGATCATGTACACTACATACTACCTATTATAGACTCAATACTAAACATGTACACTACATACTGACTACTGAATTCACATTATACTCAATACGGAACATGTACACTACAAAATCCTTAGTGATCTCATACTATACTCTCAATACTAATAATGTACACTACATACTGCCTACTTCACACTCAATACTGAACATGTGCACTACATACTGCCAACTGAACTCATACTATACACTCAATACTGATTATGTACACTACATACTGCCTACTATAGACTCAGTACTGATCATGTACACTACATACTGCCTACTAAACTCAACTTATAATTCAATACTGAACTCATACTATACACTATACTAAACATGTACACTACATACTGCCAACTGAACTCATACTCTACTCTTAATACTGATAATGTACACTACATACTATAGACTCAATACTGAACATGTACACTACATACTACCTACTACAGACTTAATACTGAACATGTACACTACATACTGACTACTGAACTCATACTCAATAAGGTACATGTACACTACATACTGCCTACTATACACTCAATACTGATCACGTACACTACATACTGCCTACTTTACACTCAATACTGAATATGTACACTACATATTGCCTACTGAACTCATACTATACACTATACTAAACATGTACACTACATACTGCCTACTGAACTCATACTATACACTCAATACTGATAATGTACACTACATACTACCTACTATAGACTCAGTACTGATCCTGTACACTACATACTGACTACTGAACTCAAATTATACTTTCAATACTGTTCATGTACACTACATACTACCTACTGAACTCATACTATACACTATACTAAACTTGTACTCTACATACTGCCTACTGAACTCATACTATACACTCAATACTGAACATGTACACTACATACTGCCTACTGAACTCAAATTATACTTTCAATACTAAACATGTACACTACAAACTGCCTAGTGATCTCATACTATACTCTCAATACTAATAATGTACACTACATACTGCCTACATACTGTCATGCTGAAAGTACACAAAATACAACAAAGTACACAATAAACACTGATATGTACACTACATACTGCGTGCTGCCTGGTGCACACTTCATTCTATCAACTTTATAATGCATACTACATACCAGTGAGAGCATACTACACACTGCAATGCACACTACACACTGCAATGCCCACTACACACTGCAGTGTATACTACACACTGCAATGCCCACTACACACTGCAATGCATACTACACACTGTAATGCGCACTACACACTGCAATGCATACTACACACTGTAATGCCCACTACACACTGCTGTGCACACTACACACTGCAATGCCCACTACACACTGCAATGCACACTACACACTGCAATGCCCACTACACACTGCTGTGCACACTACACACTGCAATGCACACTACACACTGGACACACTGCATTCTCCACATCCCAAATATATTTTGACAGTGCATATTTCAAACTAATAGTTTCCTCTTGCATTGTTGTTTGCATGTTTTTACTGCTCCACACACACACACACACACACACACACACACACACACACACACACACACACACACACAGAGAGAGTCTCCACTTCCCTTAGTAGTGCACTAGATGGACCTGCTGGACAGGTTCTGCTGGCTGATCTGCTTCAGTGTAACAGGAGCATGTGCCGCACACACACACACACACACAAACACACACACACACATGCAAACATGTATACACACACACTACTCTCCTAACCACGGTAAACCCTCACTATAGCCGTGTGTGTGTGTGTGTGTGTGTGTGTGTGTGTGTGTGTGTGTGTGTGTGTGTGATCTGACCTTCACCCTCCTGCCGTCCAGGTTGAGTGTGCGCACAGTGAAGTCCACCCCGATGGTGTTGTGCTGGCGCTGGGAGAACAGGCCCGTGCTGAAGCTCTGCACCAGGCTGGTCTTGCCCACGTTGGAGTCCCCGATGAGGATGATCTTGAAGAGGAAGTCGAAGGAGTCGTCCGGCGGCTCCATCACATCACACATTAACTCTTCTTCTTCTTCTTCTTCTCCTCCGTCTCATCGCTCTGCAGCTGATCTGAGCTCTGCCGTCCTGCTCAACCTGGAGAACAGGTGAAGCCGCCGCCCACACTGAGGCATTGTGGGAACTGTAGTCTGCACACAGACGCTGCGAGGTTGATCAGTAACCTCAGAGTAAACATTATAGCAGCTGTATTATTGAGCTACTCTTCAACCCGGCTATAACATTTGTAAGGCAGATAACTGTAAACAATAGAGGAATATCCACATTATTAGTGTAATAAATCATGATTTTACATCTTAATAGGCTGGCAGTTGTAGTCTTAACACTTCACCTAGTTGCTGGTAGCTTTATTGTATTGTAGGCAGCTCATTATTGACCTAATAGTGTGTACAGTGTAGTATAGTATACACTTGTAATATTAATATAATAATGGTGTATCTTCTCCTTATTTTATTGTGTGTATTTTGTGAGTGTAGGTGTACTAGCTGCAGGCTGTGGTCCAGCTGGACACTTCTCCAACTCTTTAATTAAATCACATTGATAAATGAGCATAGATCTGTCAATCAAGTGGCCACGCCCTTAAATATGCAGAACATTAAGTCTTAATATAAAATGAAAGGGTAAGTTATAAAAATAATGATCCCCTTCATAGTTATCATGGAGGATAATATTAGCTATTTACACCAACGCCATCTTTTGCAGCAGGCTGTAAACACTGGCTTTACTGCTGTAAAGTTGGCCGTTTTAACATGGAAGTCTATGAGGATTTGCTCTGTGTTGGAGCCTCTAGCGGCCAGATGATGAACTGCAGCTTCAGTCACTTCGGGATTATTTGATAATAAACAAAATTATAAAGATAACCAATACAAAATGACAGTAAATAGAACTTAAATAATTAAATAGTAGAATACAGGGTCAATTTATCAATTTAAATTTATACTAAACAGACCAATTCCTGATTTTGATTTTAGTAATCTTAAAAAGATTTAGAGCCTTCCTTTCTTGAGCCACTTGCATGTATTGATTTAAAATCTTCAAAATTAAATATGATTCAATAAAATTGAATGTGAACATTATTTCTAATAAACCAAACAGCGCGCTGTTTAATAAAATTGTGAAGACAGCTTGAAATACACTTCTAGCCTCTCGAATGTGTCAGATCAGAAGGTTTTGCTGTATAAAATAGTCAGAAAATAAATGTGGAGACGTTCAATATCATCGTAGCAGAGGCCAGCTAGGTAATCCTCACTCCTCTGAAGCTGAAAAGGTGCTCTAGCGACAGACGCTAGAGGCTATGGTCTTTAACCTCCTTGATAGAGCAACCGACTCCCATGCGGAGTGTCGCCGGTTCGATCCCAGCTCTGAGCAGGTTTGGTGTAGAACCAGCAGGGTTACATCAGCCTCACAAAATGTACAATTATTGTGGTCAATAGCAATTAAATCCACCTGAGAAGCTCTGGAGATGGGTAAATATCAGTATAAATGTTAAAGTGTCCTTCTTTAGCTTTGAGATGTATTGGAAAGGAAAGGAGCCTGCCTGGTTCTTAACTTAATAATAGAGCTCTTGGAGAAAAGACGTTATTTCGACTAGCTTTATTACTTTATGGAGAATAATTGTCTGTTTAGAGAAGCTAGATGAAGTGTCTCAGTTGTATTGGAGAC